TCAAATGTTTGACCCCTTGTGGAGAAGATACCAGAAGGAGTAGACAACTTCACACTAGGCCTTAATAAAAATATTGTGATGTGTGTAATTTGAAGAGAACCGGATGCTTATTTCGGATTTTATGATCGTTTTTGTTATTCAAAACTTCGACCTTTTGTTGGGGAAGTACCAAAACAAATGGTCCGATCTCTACCATCTTTATGTCAGATCTTGTGTTGACAGAAATATTGAGATGTGCCAAATCTGCATGAAATCAGAAATTAATTTCGCGTTTCATTTATAAATATTCACAATTTTGACCCTTTGTGAGGGATGTACCATGAGGAGTGGACCGATATATTCCATCTTTGCACCAGACCTTGGCTTAAAAAAATATTTTAATATATTTAATTTGAAGACAATCGGACAGGAGCAAAATTGGATCATCCATTCTATTACTATACAGCAAAATATATATTTTGAAAATTTTGACCCCTTGTGGGAGATATAGCAGAAGGAGTGGACAGATATTGCCCGTCTTCGAACTCGATCTAAGTTTGACAATAATATTACAATGTACGAAGTTTGAATCCAATGGAATACTCCCTTCGAGAGTTATCGTGCGCACCAGTCAGACAGACGGACGGACGAACGGACATCGCTAGATCGACTCTAAACGGATTTGGTCCAAAGAGACTTAAGGTCTCAACGGTTATTTCGACTAAGCTCGTTTGGATCCTATCAAATGATATATACCCTCTCTAGCCATATGGCTGAGGGTATAATAATTATCAGAATAGAACGAGGGAGGATCTTTCAATTTTGTTCAAATTTTGCAAATCGTAATATTTGTATCAGTGCTATATCTGGTTGGACCATAAGGGCCAACCGCTTGTATAATCAGAACAAAAATCAAAATATATGTAAATACGTACGGATTTCCAAAAACCTAGCCCTAGCATATGACTGCACACACTGGTCCTTGTCCTAGCCATTTTGTCTGGACTTTTATTCTAGGTCGGCCAGTCTTCAGTTAGTTATTTCACCACTCTTTTATAAATAGATTCTCGATTTAATACCTTGTTGGGTATTGTAGAAGCAACCACCCATACTTCCAGTATATGAACAGAGCGACAGTTACAATGATACAAAAAACCTTAACATGAGTATGGCCGTATATGAGTATTTTTGGAAATCAAATTTTTCAACCGAACCGAACTGTCAATCATATAATATTTTCCAAGCCCTAATGTTCAAAGAAGTCCTAATATTTTTTCTAAAGTGTTCGTCTGAAATTCGTCATTTTACGTTCCCTATAAGGAAGATAGAGCCACATATTTTGGTATCATGACATTTCAGGTATTTGTATTAAGCTAACATATGAACATTACAATTAGTATTTGAGTTCTCTAGCCATATTTTAGTTCAAACATATTTTAAATTTCTCAAAATTCAAATAAATCATATCAACCTCTGGCCAATACCTTAAAATTTCCTGAAAAGTGATATATTTTTTTAATGTTTATAGCATCCCTCGAAATAATGCCTTGAAGCGATTTAAGGAAACTTTTTTTCCGACAACCAGTGCATATATATTTTTTAGTCTTTCAGAAAACCAGCTTAAAGTCCTACTTGATAACCACAAACTACCTTCTCAGTTGACACATTTCACATGTGACACGTTGTAGAGTTTTGCTTTTAAGTAGTTGAAGGCAAAGGAGATGAGAACTTAATTTAGTTTAGTTTCGTTTCGTTTTTTTCCTTCTCCTTACTCTAACAAAACTTTGTGGGTCATATGTTTTCTTTTGGTGTCTTTTTATGCCTTCGTTTTCATTCTCTTACCATTTGGTACCATGTGGCTGGAAACGTTTTTTATGTTGTCTTCTTTGAAAGATATTCATTTTGCGTAAACTTTTTCCTTAACTTAATGCAAAAACAAACACAAAAAAACTCGGCTGATTTAATATGCTTGTGTTTGCAGATTTTACAAACAACGTCCAGATGTGTTCTGCAATAAGTAGATTTGTAACTTTAGGCCTATTTTTTAACAACAACAAAATTTTATTAAGTCGGATTAACAAATAAATAGCATTTAAGTTATGTTGCTGCAGTGGGGCCTGTGTCGTATGATAAATGACAACATAACTCATACGCTATGTGGTACTAGACGGTAATTTCTCGCACTGTGTCTAAGTGTGAGTCAGAATTAAATATTGAAGGCATGATTGTGGAGGTGAATGAGAGATATAATGTGGGTAAATATTTTGTGATACGACCGGAGGATTTTTACCGAAAACAACAACTTCATATCGAAAATGATATCTTTCTGTACAAAAGGGTACAAAAAGTAGTAAAAACTACTACAGAATGAGCTAGAATTCGGAACCTTGTTAATGAGAGTCACTGATGGAGTGCAGAATAGATGTACCAAATGGCTTTTGGAAATTCGAATTTTTAAGTTATGAAAAGTTCTAAAATGGCACTAAACTTCTAAAATGGTACCATTTGGTACTATGTGAACGGATAGAGTTAAAAACTTGAAATTTGGCATGAAAGTCTAGTTGGAAATAATTTTTCTATGGGAAGCCGGTTTCCGGAAAGTGTACAAAGTGTGCGAACTGTACTAAATGGTACTATATTTGGAACAGTGTGGCTTAGGGTGAACATAATTTCGAAATATTGTATTAAGGTGGCTGTTGGTGGTAGGTTTGTGATAAAGAGGTGTACGACAGATGCACGACAAGTAATAAATTGTACTATATTTGGTACAATTTGCTATTGGGTGAACAGATAGTGCTTTAAATCTGAAATTTGGTATTAGGGTCGCTGTTCATGTTTAGCCTGGACATATGGAGGTAATTTCTAAATGTGTTTTATAATTGTACGAAAAGTACTATGTTTGGTATTGGGTAAAGGGATAGGGATAAAATTCTGAAATTTGGTATTTAGATTGCTGTTGGTATCTGTGTTTCAAATTTGGCGGTGATTTGGAAAGACGTCCTATGTTGGTACTAAATGGTACAAAATTTGACACTGGGTGAAGCGATAAGCCTTATCGCTTTAGGAACCTTCAAATTTGATATTAAGGTCTCTGTTGTTATCTGGAATTGAGATGTGAAGATCCAAGCTCTATACTAAACATTGCGAAATATATGTCTATATATGGGGGGTTCCATTATATATGGTCAAAACTATAAAAGACCCTTAATAACATTTGGCCAAAGAAGCCAGAACTCCTTTGTGAGTTTGATCTAAAAAGGAGTACCATCAAGTTCACTTGACATTTTCCACAGCTCAGAACGGCTAGGGTGCAGAAAAAAAATGCTAAATTTTTCCAGAAACAAGTAAAATAGTATCAGTCGGTTTTGCCGACAGATTTATACTCCCCGCCTTGAGTTATGACTATTCATACCGTTGACCCTTTATTCCGAAGCAGTTGCCTAATTCGTATCGGGCCTAAGACTAGTAAAAATATTACAACTTGCCAGATTTGACATGTGCAAATTTTTGGAAAATGTGGAAATATACGTGAGGTAACAGATATAGCGGACCGTAGTATTTCAAAATTTGAAGAAAACCGAACATATATAACAATAAAAATGGATCTGGTTAAGAGACATATTTCGATATATCAAGTTGTAAAGAATAGGCGACTTGTTTCGCAAGTTATGACAGATATAGGTATTGGAAATAGTGGTCCCCTTGTGATGAGGTACTAGAAGGGGTTGGCAGATATATATCATCTTCACAACAGATTTTGGATAAGCAAAAATATTTGGATGTGTGAAATTTGAAGAGAGCATCCAATGCTTATGTCGCTTTCTTTGAACGTTTTGTTCTTTAAAATGTTGAACCCTATGTATGGGGAGGTACCAGAAGAAATGGTCCGACCTATACCATTTCCACACCCGCCCTTGGGTTAAAAATATCTTACAATGTGTGTAATTTGAAGATACGGGATGCTTATTTCGGATTTTATGATCGTTTTGGTTATTCAAAACATCGACCCTTTGTGAGGGAGGTACCATAAGGAATGGTCAGATCTTTACCATCTTTATAACAGATCCTGTGTTGATCGAAATATTGAGATGTGCCAAGTCAGAATGGAATTGGATGTTAATTTCGTTCTTTTATGAGGATATTAAAAATTTTGACCCTTTGTGAGGGAGGTACCAGAAGGAGTGGACCGATATATTCCATCTTCACACCAGACCTTGGATTAATAAAAATATGGCGATGTGTGTAATTTGAAGACAATCGGACTCTTGCGTCACATTTTATAAGAGTTAAAATTATTCATACGTTTGACTCTTTGTGGGGGAGGTACCAGAAGGAATTGGCTGCTATATTCCATCTTCACATCAGATCTAGTGTTAATAGAAATAATGGGACGTGTGAAATATGAAGAGAACCGGGTGCTTATTTCGTATTTTATTATCGTTTTGGTTATTCAAAACATTGACCCTTTGAGGAGGACGTGCCATATGGGGGAGGTCAGATCTTTACCATCTTTTTTACAGATCTTGGAGTTGATAGAAATATTGAGATGTGCCAAGTCTGAATGGAGTCGGATATTAATTTGGCGTTTTATGAGCTTCATGGATATTCACTCTTTTTTGGGCGAGGTACCAGAACGAGTGGGCCAATATCCTTACACCAGACCTTGGGTTAATAAAAATATTTGGATGTGTGTAATATTAAGGCAATCGAAGACGGACGGACAGACATCGCTGGATCAATTCCAAATATCCTGAAATGGATTTGGTCTAAAGAGACCTAGGGTCTAAAACTGTTATTTTGATGAGGCACGTTTGGTTGTATCAAAAAATATATACTTTCAGTAGCCATATGGCTGAGGCTATAATGAAAATTTTCCAAAATTTTAAATTCAGAACTTATTCAAATTTAAAACTCAAGAAATATCAGTTTTTGTACATCCAATATTTGTATGGATTTCAATAAATGCTTTTCATGTTTCCCGTTGTTTTCTCAAAACAAAAAATATTTTCCCTCCTTTTCAGGTAATACCGAGAACAACAAAATTCCCACAACGACGCTATGGCGGAAGTTTGCGCTGTACAACAAATCCCCATCGCCAGGGTTTCGATGGTCGTGACGAGTGCCGAGATGCCAGCTCCAGTGGGGGCATCTCATCCGGCGGCGGTGGTGGTCACAATGTTGGACGTTCGAACTCATTTCGTTTCAATAGACCACGAAATTCATTTACCTCAGCGTCCAGTTCGGGTTTGAACAGTTTGGGAATGGGTGGAGGTGGTGGCAGCATACCCGATCAACGTCACATGGGCGGTGCCAATATCCACACATCCAAACTGAGCGGTGGCAGCAGTGGTAATTTGCTGTGTAAACACATCAAATATTGTTGCCTGCACCAGCAGCAGCATGCCCATCCGCCACAGCAGAAGAATTTGCCGCCACACTCGAGCAATTGCATGGCCCAGCAGCAGCAGCAATTGTTTCAGCAACAACAACAGCATCACCAACAGCAGCCTTCAATACATTTTGGACAACAGAAATCATATCATCATCAGCAGCAACAGCAGCAACACGACTACAGCTCAAGCAACAGTAATCCAGTGACAAATACGGCTAATAATACCGGCAGTGGGTTGGGAGGAGCTGGTATCGGTGTTGGCATGGCCCATGCAACCTCATCGACCCGTTTGGGTCCCGATGGTGAGGACAACACAAGTGGTCCTCTCAATAATGGAGTCTCCAATTGTTTGGGTAATGGCCAACATTCACAACAATCCTCTAAACAACAACAGCAACAACCACAGAAACGTCATTCAATTATTTTGGAACGTGCTTTCGACTTTGGTAAGTACATATCGACCGACCGACTAACTGACACTCAGTGGTGGTCCTCTCAGCGGGCACACACCATGTCTTGTTGTTATTGATTTAAAAAATTACATACGGAAGAGAACAAAGCATCACTCACACACACACACACACACTCACTACTCAGTTCCATTGTTTTTGTGCAACATGCTGGCCCCCGGTCCCTTACAAGGCACTACAAGGATGCGTATGTTGGCAAGGACATAAGTGGCAAAATCAGTTCATCAAAGAAAAGAAACAATGGAATTTTTGCACTGTTTACTTTCTCATTGTGAGCTGGAGGGGTTTTCAATGAGCGCGTGTGTGTGTGTGTGAAAAGTAGCTGACTTGCTGCGAGAAGACAGAGAGTAAATTTCTAAGAATTAGTTAATCATAAAAAGAGTGTTTGAAGAGGATAGCAAACGTGTTTTTTTCTCTCCATTGCCATTAAAGCATTTCAAGTGATATCAGGGCAAAGCCACTAAGCTAAATTAGTTTTCATTAAGGGCAAGGGCCAAGCTCTTTTTTTGAACTGGGGAAGATTGTAATGCTTTATTTGAAAGTACGAAAGATATTCATTAAATGTAAGTATTTTGAGATGGGATAGGAAAACAGAGTTTCCATTTCAATCAGTTCTAATGCAAATGAAAATGTTGTTACAACAATTTACTTCACAATGAGGGAATATTCGGAATATTTATATCCTCAGCCATATGGCTACAGAAGGTATATATCATTTGATACGGCCAAAACGTGCCTCATCGAAATGGCGGTTTTAGACCTTGAGTCTCTTTGGATTAAATCTGTTTCAGAAAATTTGGAGTCAATCAAGGGGTGTCTAGCTGGTTTGTATCCGATTTAGGACATGGTAATATTATTATCAAACTTAGATCGAGTGCGTAGATGGACAATATCGGTGTAAGGTCTTCGACCTTAAAGTCGTCTTTATAGACGACGTTAAATTCGTCTTTAAAGACGACCTTAAATTCGGATTTATATGCGACCTTAACTTCGTCTTTACATGCGACCTTAGAGTCGTCTTTATAGACCACTTTAGAGTCCGATTGTCTTTAAATTGATCGCACAATAACACAAGATCTAGTGTGAAGGTAGGATATATCAATGCACTCCTTCTTGTACCTCTCCCTCAATGGGTCAAAATTTCAAATAGCTACGAAGTTCATCCATATGTCTAGGATGGAGTATATATCGTTTGATACGACCAAAACGTGATCATCGAAATTACGGTTTTGGACCCCAGGTCTCTTTGGACAAAATCCATTTCAAGATATTTGATCGATCAAGCGATGTCCGTCCGCAAGTCTCGAAGAGAGAACCGATTTTGACCAAACTTCGTACATCGTAATATTATTATCAAAGTTAGATCGAGCTCAGAGATGGACAATAAAGGTCAACTCCTTTTAGTACCTCCCTCAAAATTTACACAGAGAATAATTTACCTGATAGAACAAAAAATAATCGTCCGAGTTTGTCCAAATTTCGCAAGTCGTAATATTCATATTAGTACTAGGTCAGCTGCAAAAATGGACAATATCAGCCTACCCCATCAAGTACCCCCACAAAAGATCAATATTTTGAATAATTATAACTCGTACAAAATGTGAATTAAAGGTGTGATTGTCTAGTTTTGCGGATCTCAATATTTTTACCAACACAAGATCTGGTATAATGATGAAATATATGGGACCACTCCTCTGGTGCCTCCCCACAATGGGGCAACATTTGTATACCCTCAGCCATATGGCTATAGATCTGTTTCAGAAAATTTGGAATCGATCTAGAGGTGTCCGCCTGTCTGTCTGGCTGGTTTGTTCGCACGATAACTCTCAGAGAAGTATCCAATTTGATCCAAACTTGGCACATGGTTATATTATTATTATCAAACTTATATTGAGTTCGGAAATAGACAATATCGGTCAACTACTTCTGGTACCACCCCCGAAAATATCGAAACTTTCGCAGAAAATAATCTAATAGAACAAGAAAAGAGCATCCGATTTTGTTCAAATGTTGCAAATCTTAATATTTTTATCAGTGCTAGGACGTGTGCAAAAATAGACAACATGGGTAAAAAAATTACAACAGTATCACACATTCCAATATTTTAAATAACACGAGTTCTGATGTAAAGGTATGATGCACTTCGATGCACTTTTTATTGTTTCTCTCCCATAATGGGCCAAACATTTTAATTACCACATAATTCGCAAAACGTGAAATAAGCATCCTATTCCTTTCAAACTCGGCACATCCTAATTATACCAGGGTATATATCGTTTGATGCGGCCAAATCGTGCCTCATCGAAGTAACGGTCTTAGACCCTAGGTCTCCTTGGACCAAATTTATTTTAGAATATTTGGAGTCGATCTAGCGATGTCCGTTCGTCTGTCTGGTTGGATAACCCAAGAAGGGAGTGTTTGATTTGGTACAAACTTGGTACATCGTAATATTATTGTCAAACATAGATCGAGTTCGGAGATGGGTAACATCGGCACACTCCTGCTGGTATCTCCCACATAAATTTGTCAAAGAAAATAATTTACCTCAAAGAAAGAGAAAGGATCATCTAATTTTGCAAATCCCAATATTCGTATTAGTGCTAAGTCTGGTGCGAAAATGAGCAATATCGGTCCACTCCATTAAGTACCTCCCCCACAAAGTGTGACGTACAATTTTGTATCGTATTGTATTGAAATTACTTACTTCACAATATTTTTATTAACCCAAAATGGAATATATAGGTCCAGTCCTGCTGGTACCTCCCCCCCACAAAGGGTCAATATTTTGAACATTCATGAAGCTCATAAAATATGAAATTAACATACGATTCCATGCAGACTTGGTACATATCAGTAACATAAGAATTTTTATAAAGATAGTAGACATTCGACCATTCCTTCTGGTACCTCTCCCACAAAGGGCCAAAGCTTTGAATAACCAAAACGATCATATAATCCGCAAAAAGAATCCGGTTCTCTTCAAATTACACACATCACAATATTTTTATTAACCCAAAATCTGGTTTAAATGTGGAATACAACGGTCCACTCCTTTTAGTACCTCCCACACAAAGGGTCAAAATTATGAATATCCATGAAGTTACTAAAACGTGAAATTGACCTCCGATTCCATTCAGACTTGGCACATCTCAATGTTTCTATCCACACAAGATCTGTTATGAAGATAGTCGAAATCGATCCATTCCTTTTGGTATCTCCTCCACAAGGTGTCAAAAGTATGAATAACCGAAACGATTAAAAAATCCGTTCTCTTCATATCTCGTACATTTCATTATTTCTACTAATATAAGATCTGCTATGAAGATGGGATATATCCACTCCTTCTACAGCCTTCCCCACAATGATTCCAAATTTTTATACCCTCCACCATACTATGGTGGAGGGTAATCACGCTATCTTTCGAATGAATTGAGATAGGTGGCTAAAATTTTGCACACATGTTTATTTTTCCAGTAGACAGGTTAAGTTCGTAAATGGGCCATGTAGGTCCACGTTTTCATATAGCCCCCATATAACGGTACCTCCCGATATTCGGTATTTTGATGATTTTAGCGACATTATTCACGGGAATTGTTTCAAATTTGGTATTTGAAGTTCAAAATGGATACTACACCCTAAGACAGAAAATTGTCTGTGCAGGTCCACGTCTTCATATAGCCCCCATATAACGGTACCTCCCTATATTCGGTATTTTGATGATTTTAGCTACATTATTCACCGTTTATTTCAAGTTTCGAATTTGAATATGGTAATGGCTTATGACAAACATTGCCTATGTATGTCCACGTCGTATAGACCCCAAAATAACGGCTATATTCGGTATTTTTAAAATTTTAACAGAATTTTTTAAGGATTTTATTTTTTGAAAATTTCCAAATTCGTTGCAAATGGTGGAGGGTATTAAAAGTTCGGCCCGGCCGAACTTACTGCATTTTAACTTGTTAATATTCATGAAGTTTATAAAACACGAAATTAAGGTCCGATTCCATTCAGGCTTTGCACATCTCAATTCTGATACCTCACCCACAAAATACCAACATTTTGAATATGAATGATATCATCCGATTACATTCAGACTTCGTACATCTCAATATTTCCATCAACACTAGACATGTTATAGAGATGGTAGAGATCGAACCATTTCTTCTGGAAACAAAACGCTTAAAGAAAGGGAAATAAGCATTTTTGCTAACACAAGATCTATTGTGAATATGATATATATCTGTGAACCCCTTCTGGTACCTCACCCACAAAAGGTCACAATTTTCAATATTTTTATCTGTCCTAATTTGCGAAACAAGTAAGCGATTCTTTACAACTTGCTATATCAAAATATTTCTCTCAACCAGAAACCTGAGATGAAAATGGAATTTACGATTTACAAAACATTTAATATAAATGTTCGATTTTCTTGTATTTTTGTCCATACAACTATTTTTATTTGTATTAATATGAAAATGGAATACTTCGGTCGACTTTATCTGGTACCCCGCTCACAGGTTAACAGTTTTTACAAATTATCACATATTTTTAATTTATATTATATTTATTTAGGTCCGATACGTAATGGGGTTATAGACGGTCAACAATATGAATAATCATAACACAAGTCAAAATATATTTAAATAATCGTACATTGGCAGGGAGTATACATCTGTCGGACAAAACCGACTGATAATTTTTAAACATGCTACAAATCAATCATTAAATGTTATTTGGCTCTTGAAGAAATAATCTTAGAAAAATAACGATCTATGGATTTAAGATTTGAGCCCTTTAAAGTTATATTTAAAAAAATCCCTGTTGTTTGTCCTGATTGCCTGTTAAGGCAAGAAAGCCTTTGAACAAAATATGTTTGAAAAAATCCAGTCCTTAAAGAGATAATCTTAAGAAATTCTCGCTTAAGGTCGTGAATAGACTTGAAAATATTTACTTAAAATTGCCATTTTTAATAA